AAGTCGGCTCTAGGTAAATTCGTAACTTTACTACCTAACATATTGCAATTTTTTGTGTACATACTATCTAGAAGGTGTGCTAAATTCAGTATTAATTTTGCGGTGATTGCATTGCTCGTTGTGCCAATATTCTCATTTAATTGCAAATATAAGGGGTGGTCGGTGACTTTTGCCACGGGAGTGTATTTGGTTTATAATAATAAACCAATTTACTTATTTAGGCTGATATTTAAATTTTACGTTAATTTCTTTTATATACATTTTGTGAGCGAAATTGATTTTAATCGCAATTGCCTTTTGTTTAATAATTCATCGTTCAAGAAAGCTAAACATTTCAAAATTCTCATGCAGATTCGCGAAAGCTAAGCTACAAAATGATATAAAAATTTTGTATAATAGTTATAGTGGATGTTGCATAAACTTGAAAAAACTCCCATTGGATACTTTAGTCCAGGGAGTGTATCTATGATGGATGTATAAGATGGAGAGAAAAGAACAAGGAACACAGCATACCAAAATGAAACACTCGTCACTGCTGATGTGCGGGAAGGACAAATGGATAGACTAGGACAAAGCAATCATCACCTAGCATGGGTCATTGAATAGTTACTTTTCCAAGGGTAGACAATTCAACCGAAATATTATTATTGGCTGTAAACCAATTCCGGGGATTAGGACCATTAAAAACTGGGTACGTTACGTGTGCCAATTCGTCTGCTTCGTCATCGTTTTGTAAAGCGGGTTGAACTTGGGGTACTGGAAGTGGAACAGGCGCTGGATTTACTGGAGGTACAGGTTTTGCTGCTGGGACCTTTTTCTTTTGCCGGACTAGTGGTTGAGGTACAAAAAGTTGCTCGGGTTCTTTTCCTTTTTGTTTTAAGTTAAGCGCTTCATCAGATCGTGTTTTTCTTAGAGCTACCTTATCAACTTTTGTTAGTTTCGAGGTACTTGGTTGGCTTCAGGAGTATGAGGTACTGTCCTTATTTGACTAGATCGGTCTCTTGGAGGTGTATTTTTTGGAGTCGGTACACTTGGTTCTTCTATTCTAAGCTCTCCTTCTTCTAAAGAATCGTCACTTTCTTCTCTTTGCTTTGTTTGGGCTTAGAAACGGGCGGAAAGAAAAGACTTGCTGCGCTTTTTGCCTTTTCTAACAAAGTACTTGAACCAGTTTCTGTTGCTTGGCCAGATGCTTGTTCTTGTATGTTTTCGATTCTTCTTTTAACCTCTTCAGAGTTGATTGTCTGGATATGGTCCGATCAGCATAGTAAACTCAAGCGTCTGTTGTAAGGTGGGATACTCTATAATCGAGATTGTTAATGTTCTCTCGAAATGCAACAAATTCGTCGGTTTCGTAGTTAATCGGATAACACAGGCTTTGCTTCGGATTTTTGTGAGGACTTGTTTTCGGATTGGAGAGTCGAATGAAAAGTTTTCGTGAGCAAATTGATGTCCAAGATACTTTCGTCTGTTCGCCAGATCTGTTACAGTTCCTTTCTTATGTTCCAAGGTTGCGGTATTTGTCTTTCGTATTCGATTGAGATGTGGTTTTTTCGAGCCAAAAGAGCGGAATGACACGTGACTCGTAAGGATTTAACTTTCCTCATGTGGAGCGTAGCGCCTCTTACTAAGACTGACAGTTAGTGACCTTTCGTTTAAGCTTTTACGCTGACGGCACTTCCGTTTGCCGGATCGCGACACTAATCCTAGATAATTATTTGCTCTCGAGATAATTAGTAACGACTATCTGCCGTTGGATTATTTCGGCAATCTGTCCGTTTTAAAAATACACCTAATTATTAACGCGTTATACTTAACAATTAATTGTCTTAATTCGCTACTCAGATAATCGAGGAACAAGAATCGATTAGTATATCGAATAATTCAGGGAAATTCGTAAATAGTTTATGATCAGAGTAAATGCGATACTCGTTTATTGATAAGATAATAAAGGAATCGGGAAATAATAATGATATTTGAACTATAAGACACTTGAAACACACCGAAACTAGCTGATTCCTACGCTGCTTTTATATCTTCAATCTACTAATTGTCCTATTTTTACAACGTATTTCTAAGCTACGATTATTGGCTTGTTTCATTTGACACTAAGTAATCGCCTTCCGTTGCAATTTGAAACATCGTTACGCAAGGATCTGCGACACACATCCCTCCACACACATCATAAATTTGGACGCTTTCTTTTCCATTCCGTTTTACATCATTCTACAATAAACATTAAAGAATTTCCTTCTTTCGGTAACTTGTATTATTACTTTCCATTCTTCATATGTATAGCCATCCACTTTCTCCATTCATCCCTTCCCTTCCCTTAATACAGCTCTAATAAAACATTTCGATAATTTTTTTCCCGTTACTCTGTAAATCACATTTAAATTCAACTGCAATCCACGTATTTGACGTTAATGAAGAATACAAGCAAGAAACTGGACTTTTCAAAGCAAACGGGATATTTCTCAACTTCGCTAATGAACCCATAAAAGTGTATGTACATTGAAGTCTATGTCCCCTAAGGAAAACCCTGATTGGCTCGCCACCACGCTTTTTTATCGGACGACGTAATCGAATTAGCTGGGACCATTACTATAACATACTAAAAGTATGGATTAATTTTACTATCATTGACATAACCCATTCCTCTTTTAATAAATTATACTTTCTTCCTACTAGGTAAACGCATATAAGTGTCATGTATCTCAAAAAGTACCGTCAAACATGCCATGCGCGTACTTGGCTTAGTACGATCGGCATCATAAAATCAACGCTCACATATGCTATTCAAACGTCTCCGGAAACCAATCAACTATAAAAACAGCAGACTTCGAAATAATAATCCGCCATCATGTCAACAGAAAATACCTTTACAACCGAACAACAAAAGCAAAACTGGTTTCAAAAGTTTCCCTTATAGGAGAATTAGATATCCACGAAGATAAATGTGTCTCGAACTTCACAATTTTGATTTTATATCCACGAACACCACTCAATATACGTCCTCCACGCCCACCTCCTCATCCCCATCCGCATCCTCATCCACATCTTCTGAGAAGTCTTCTATACGAATCATTAACTACCACTATCAAGCGACAAAACCTCTCCCATACCCTCCCCCACGAAAATAAAAATCAAATCCGAAAAAGATTTATCTACGTCGTCATCAACAGAAAAATTCACAACCAACGAAGACAATCTAGTAGTAGTGGTAGACGATCCACCTGCAACAAAAAAAAACCAACTAAACGAGAGCTACGCTCATCTACAAAAGTAAAAGAGCTTTCCGATTTAGCGTCTACCAAACTGAAGAATAAAACTGTACAATATTCGGAAAAAACTTGTGTGAAACGTACGTTGTTTGACTCAAAACCCAATCATCCACACACCAAAATATCTTTCATCGCTCTCAATTCGTTTGAATAGTCGA